ATTTCAATAAAAGTTGTTTATCTTTATCTCCTCTTTCATTTGATGTCTATTTCAATGCATTTGGTTGTTTATTTCATCATGTGTAGTGAGTAGTTACCCATTAGGGTTTGAGATGGGTTAGATTAGGGGATCTTTAAGCTTAATACTTCTTGCTTATGTTCTTAATCTAGAAATCTCTCTCTTTTGGGCAAACCTTAAGGCTACATGACTGTTTGGGCAAAATTTAACCGGTTCGCAAGTACAATAAACGGAATGACGCAGGAGAAGATATCTTATTAATCAATTGAATATCGAGCTACAACAAGTCAATATCAAAGATTAAACTAAGAGGATCTCGTCTGTCGCTCGTCGTAGATCGTAGTTCGTCGTTGCTAGGTTCTTCGCCGCTGCTTGTCGAGAGGCGTAGAATAAGTAGTTACTAGGGTTTTTGTGTGTTTATTGATGTCCCCTTGTCCTTGTTATGGGACCTCTTATTTATAGGTGCTTGTCGATCCTAATCCTTGTTGAGTTGGGCTTTGACGTCGGTCGTAATATTCCATTTCCCTTGTCGGTCGTTCCTCTTAATTTCCTTTTAATTAGGAGGTTACGTCGGTCTTTTACATAATTCCAATAGCTTGGGAAATTACATAAAACCATGGGTGTTGGTAACTGTTAGTCATTGCTAAACCATTAATGAATATCGTCGGTCGTACCTCGTTATAGAGTATGTCGATGCTTGAGGCCTTTTTAGGAAACTAGCAGTAGGACTGACCGGTCGATCACATCGTCAGTCGATCATATCTCCAGCTTATAATAGAGTTTAAGGAGCGACCGACTAGTGAATTTATTTCACCCAACAACTTGCCCCCTACTCTTCAATTTCTTGTTTAGAATTTGTAGAGTAATACTTCATTTTCATATCGTCGGTTCGCTTGCTCATGTCACTTGTGACTGTTGTTCGTTTACTAACGTCGATGTACAAAAAAGCATATATCGTCTAATGGCATGGTCCCTTTTAAATATTATCTATGCACATACCAATGGAGCAACATAATATATAATTTAAATAAAAGATCCCAAAGACATACCTTTTTTCTTCGTTCGTCGATGGCTTATGCGAGTGACAAACTCTTATTTTAAATCATGTGGAAATAACTAAGCAAAATAAGAGGGACGTACTTATTTTAATATCCATGTGGGATTGATTAAGAATGGAGATGGACAAGCTTCTTTCTCCAATGACCAATGACAAAGTTTTATTCTTGAAGCATGTACGTCCTTCCTTTTTTTTCCATGTGGGTCCCAAAGAAGTTGTACTTGACCACTCATGTAGCTTTATTAAAATTGAGGAACGACGTACATTAATTATGTAGTTGTGTTGTTTGTTTATGTAGAGAGTGACCAGCGACAAACATGTTTAGTCGTGCCTCTTCCTTTTTTCTCTTAATCGTCGAGCTTCATTCTCTCCAATCTTAAGTAAAACGTATTTTTTCAAATCGTCAGTCGTTGCTCGTCAATGCTGTTTCGGACCTTGCTCCCTTTCTAATGTAGATGTTATTCATTTCTTTTGTATGTCGCTCATTTGTCTTCTTTTGTCGTTCCCTCTCTCTTTATTTGGAGTTGTTAATTCTTTTCCTTTGATGTCGCTTGTAAAATAGATAATTAAAGAAGAGAATTCAAGAAGGAGAGACACACGTACCTGTCAGTCACTAACATTATAGTAGAAGCATCGACATAATAGTGATGGAGCTCCTTTTTATTATTAGTTGGTCTTGATCTCGTAAGACCTAGTAGAAACTAACAAGAACAAACACATTTTATACGTTCGTCTTTGGTTGATCGCTTCGATTGACTACATAAGTCCTCATCAATTGATGAGCGTCGATGAACTCATAACTTGCTTTCTCTACGGATAAGCAGCCTTCAATATATGAAATATTGATAGTTAGAATCTGTTTCTAAAAAACGGCGTTTTTAGGGATTCATCGGTCGGAAAAATCGGCAACGGTGGGCAACCGTGAGATTAATCAAAATCGGCGATGTTTTTGGTCAATCTCACTTGGGCTGCTGTCCACGTGTGGTATTGTCGTCGTCCGGCGTTGTTCCGGCGTTGTTCCGGCGTCGTTCCAGCGTCGTAGCGTCATGGTCGAAGATTCTCCGTGAACTATAGCCGTGATAATCGCCGGAGAAGCATAGATGATGACGACGGCGATTACAAAGACGGTGAAGATTGGTTGGACTCGAACAGTGGAAGATTGCCGCCGCACAAGTTTATGACGAAGACGAGAATGGCGTCGTTGTGCAGGTTTCTTCGGGAGGAAGAAGAGATCTCAGAAGGGCCAAAATGCAATTTTGAGAAAATTGAGTTCTAAAATGAAATAATTGTGTGTGTGAGAGAGAGAATATAGTATTTATAGAATTGCCCTCAATGTATTGTCATTTCCGAAAATAAGACCTATAGAATTTTTAACTTTGAGATTTTATCATATTTTGCATAATTGATACAATGTTTTGGAAAGAAAACAATTTTAATAGATAACATTTTGTTTCTATATATGAAAATGTTTGAAAAGATATAAAATATAGTCAAAATTTCATCCCCGTTTAATCCCCGCTTAATCTCCGTTTTTTTTTAAATTCCAAATCCTGACCCGACTGCCCGATTAACGATTACCGATGTTTTGAACACATGTTAGAATTATAGGAAATATATGCAAACAAACTATGCATATTCATTCGATAACAGAGAACTCACGACTTATTAAATTTATCGATCTCCGGTTCAGAAAGTCATTTGTGATAATAGTCGAGTCTTTCATATTCAAACAGATTTGCATACCAACATCTAGATCTTTTTTTGGTGAACTCGAATCTAATTAGATTCTTTCATTTAGGGAAAAGAGGATAAAATTGAAGAAATAGAATGATCCAGGTTTGAATTCAGGGTTCGTTCATACGTCAAGATTTTTTTGAGCTATTGTTGGAAGAATAAAAATTGTGAATTTTTCTAAGACAGTATTAATAATTTCATCGAAAACTTACAGCTGCTTGCCAAACAAAGGCTAAGAGAAGAAAGAAAAGAGGTATTACGGGCATAACATCTACGATTGGATTCAAAAAGGCGTAGGCCTCCGGCAATTTGGCAACTAAAAAAGTGCTTGAAAAAAGGGCAGAATTCAAACAAATACAGATCAAATTAAATATATTAAGCATAAAAAAATTTGGTGTTCTTGTGGATAATTTCATTTTGATTGAGTTATTAATATATTTTTTATATAAGGAAAAAAATAAAGAAAGATAGTCTAAAAAGACTTTGTTGAACTTACTCAATCAAAAATTCTTTCATTCTCTTATGAGAATGAAAGAAATAATATTTTCATACAATATCTTAATTGAATTCTATGTAATGATCAATAAAGTAAGTTTGATTTGCTATCTACACGCGTAAAAACTCTAGCACCAATGTAATCTATATTTAATTCGGGCTGAAATTGAATTGACGAACAACCAATAGCAATATTACTCTTTTAGTAGTCTTGAATAAAAATCGAAATGGGGCGTAGCCAAGCGGTAAGGCAACGGGTTTTGGTCCCGCTATTCGGAGGTTCGAATCCTTCCGTCCCAGAGTACGGTCATTACGGAATCAATCTTCTATTGCCTTTGTACACCACCTTTCTCTTTCTATTTAAAAATCCAATTTTTTTTAAGAATAAACTATTGAAACGAAACGAAGAATCCACTTATTTTTCATTAATTCAAAAAAATAGATTTGCTTTTTTATTTTTGTGTGATGCGGGTAAGTAAGGTATAACCGTAGATTCTAAGTGGTAGAAAACAATGTGCGACTTGAATTGAAGGACATTATTTGCTGTGGATTTTTTGATCCGCCACTTTTTATATAGGAATATAGGTGCTCTTGGCTCGACATTTTGTGTTCTATTTTATTTACTAGAGTACAGGATGGAGCTGGAGGAAAATAGAAAGTTTTTTCCTTTCGCAGGAGTAAGGATCTAGGGTTAGTGCGAATCAATTAAGTTGGAACAGCTTCGTAAGTCTTTTTATTTTTATATTGAAAAAAAAAAAAA